AAATTGCACACTGTTGGAGTTTGATCATGGCTGTGACACAAGCGCTTCTTAATGGGAAGTTAAATGATTGTGTGCCGTTGAAGAAGCAGCTGCATGATGGTCACAGTGCAGGTAATGACAGTGGTCTAATATGTTTTCAAACCATCGCTACGGTAAACATTCGGTCTTGTGCAGCCGCGACGGTGCGCTACTCGCTAGTGGCCTACTGCTGCGGCAAATTCGCCAGGCAGGCTCGGAACAAATTGTCTCGGAGTGCCGTTCAGTTCGTACGTGAATTTTAGTTCGTGCAGTTTTCTGTAACAGGCACACAATTACACAAAGCGTCGTTGATAGATGGAGGATCAGTTGATACCACCACCCTTTGCACTGCAGCAAGAAATGAGGTAGCGAACATTCAGCAGTTCCTATAGTTTGGGCAAGTACTTCGGTCCGATATACATTCATTTTACGGTCAAGAGTACATGTGGTGAAAGCGGCATGGGGAGTACGTCCGTGCGTCCTATCTTTTTCTATGCGTGTTCACGGGGTGATCATCCCTCCGCAGCCATCTTGAACTGCATGGCACGCCACCTATTGACTGTGGGCATTGCGAATAGGCCGGCATTGCGAATACTTTAAGACTGTCTTGGCCCTCTATTAGTTGTCATTTTTTCTGGCACAAAAAAAGACTGCTACAATGGAAAGGACAACCACACGAGTGCTTTAGAACTCCATTTTTGGTGTATTTTGGAGTGGTCATTTCCTGAAGAAAAGTCTCAACTGGTCTCAAAACAATTGAGGTTTGGTTGTCAAACTAATCTCGACATTCATACTGATTTAGTTTTTCACATCGGGGTCATTTCAGCCCTCTACGTTCCGAGACCTTTATACACCTTTTGTCCGTTCCAATCCTAAATTAAAGGACGCAATGCTCAAGTAAAAAGTTTATTTACTCTTAGAAATTATACACAACACAGTGAGAAAATGCATGCGGTAATCAATCACGAAAGAACTTCAGCAGTGTCTGCCCACAAATCGCTCCAGTTGGGTTGCATTGTCGACAGGGGCCCAAAGAAAGGACCACAAATGGTCAATATAGTTTTACAGTGAAAGCCATTATGAGATAACTTGGGTCACGCGGGGCGCCGTAGTTGTCCGCCGCCGCCGGTGTCCGTAACCACTTCATACGAAAAAAAAAGAAACATTGTACCAAGAACACAGTGGGGCTTGAACCTGGGTTCGTTGCGTGCCAGCCCAGTATTTTACCACCGAGCCAAGCCAGTGCTTGGGACTTGTTTGCAAACTTGCCCTTAGGCAGACTTGATGTCGGGAAAGGAATCGCATTAATATGAGTAATAAAGCATTTTAGAACAGCAAAAGAACAACCAGGCATCACACAATGCGAATAGCGTAACGAGTGGGCCGTCCAATGCTTCTACCCATTACAAAAGCTTGTTCTGTATTACCTATTAACTGTGGTGCATACCCACTTCAAGCATAATTCTTCATCATCGTCAGCCACTGCATGAACAATTGGTAAAACATTTCTTGCAAGTGTTTAGCGGATACCACGCTTCTCAGAAGAATGATTAAGGATAGCATAGCGAATGCTGGCCTACTACCCAGAAATTATTATTAATGCCATAGTGGGTGCCCAGCAAGTGTGCTTGCAGCAGTTACCCAATGAGCGTTTAGAAAAGGCTCTGAAAGGCCACTCTTCCAGCTTTCGCTGTGACTGTGCTGCACCTTCCGCACAGGCCTGGTGTTTTCTCTTTTTTAAAACCATCCGATCCACAAAACAAATTTCATATCATAAATGAAAACTGCGGCTTTATACTTTACAAACACTCATCTTTTGTTTGTATGATATTGTATTTCATACACATGGAAGTTAATACAGGTTAATCTATGCTACAGAATACACTAGAGCTCCAATTAAGCTACACAAAGCAGCTTGGAGTAATTTTTACTGGCATACTAATTAGCAGAGTTTAAAGAGACCAACTGTTGGTCAGACAGTGTCATTACATCACGGTGAAAATGAACAGACCATGAAATACAGTGATGCATTCAAAAATCGTTTTTGCGAACAGAGTAGGATTAAAAGTTTTAGAAGGTGCTTATAGTCGCAAACAGTCTTTGTGGTGTTTCACAGCTTAGCGAAAGAACCTTAAAGCTGTATTATAATGTCAAGTTTGCTGTATGCAGTGTGATGCTTTCATGCACACCAGAATGATGGCTTAAAATAAGAGTACGTATATTGTTATCCATAGCCACTCTATCATGCACTGATTACAAAATAAAAGGAGTTGATGCTAAGAAGTGACGATGCAAATAGTGGAACATGTCAATCCACAGTGCATGTGCGTGGAGTTCACATATGTGCTGCAAACTGCAGAGTGCAAACACTAATTGCTGTCGTGCTTACTGTACGCTATTGTAGCATGTCTTCTGTGTACAGATTAATAATCACTGCAAATCGAAAAATTCCGATTATAAATTTCTCACAGCCTTTCCCACTTTACCATGACGTGATTAGGCACTGTAACCAGAAAGCTTTCTGTTGCACTACAGAAAACGGGTACCATAAAAACAGGCAGCTGGTCCCGTTAGAATAATCTTGGCTTGGATGCTTTTAACAAATATTTTTAGGAAAATGGTGCTAATTGGATATAAATCAGGTAGACATGACTTCAATATGCTTGGCTTCAATTTTGCAGTTACAATATTTAAGGTGAATAATCAAGAAGCCAATAAGTAACTTATAATTCACTATCAAAACATGGTTATGTGTCAGGCAGGAAATTTCCGCCTTTTCCAAATAACTACATGAAAGAATTTGATTCTAGAAAATATTGAAGACCTGCTATCTGTCGCTGATGATTTCATACACGCACACACACATGCACGCGTGTGCCTGGAACAAAGGTTCTGTTCTTAGGCTTGCATGCAATAAACTGTTCAGCAAGCACTATCAATTCAAAGCTTTGATAACGGATGCTCTCTTAACAACACATGATATAAGCAAGGGTGACTTATTAGAACAGTGGTCATACACACACAGACAAAGACATTTTAGCCAAGCAGTACGGATATAGTATGCTATATTCACATGCACCATGCTAGATTATAATGGTGTCCTTTGAGTCACTTTCTGGTATGACAGTTTGCCGTGAAATCTCTTGTGCCACTTCGAAATTGTAAACAGTTTTTCCGTGCTAAAAAGAAATAAAAATAAAAAGCCTGCAGCTGACACATGCAATGAATGCGTTTTTTTTTATTGGCACGAACTGAATATTTGGCAAGTGTGGCACTAATATTCATTCACGCAGTCTGCTGCCATGCCGCAGTTGTAAGCTAAACCGTGCAGCTGCTTACCTATTTCTTCAACAGGCTCGCGTTTGAGCGACTGAATGGCTTGCTTGGACGCTGGCGGCTTGTGTGGCTGGTCGGGAAATATCCTTGGACGATAGAATGGGTACGCAATGTTCAGATAACGCGTAGCTCCGTGATGTGAATATCGTAAACAACAGCTGCTCGTTCGCTCACCTTTCGTACTCCATATCGAAGCTGGCTCCGAATCCACCGTCAATCAGCAGTCTGTAGAGGGAAGTGCAGCGGTTTAAGTCTTAGCCAGCGAAGTCCTTGTGCAAGTCATTGCGTCACGATTCGTGCGTACAAAGTAGTTGTACTACCTTGCCAAATGTAGAAGGTGGTCCGGTTGCTCTCCTGGCCCCAGTGGCTCGCAGTCATGTTCATCGAAGTACGATGCCATCGTTAACAGCCGACGGAAATTTTGGATTATCTACAGATTTCAGCGGCGGCAAACGCGAATGACGGTTTCGGGCGCGCGTCAGACGAAGCTAGCTCGCGGCCTAACGAAGCGTCTGCTGTTACGCGTGCCGCGTTGATGCTAGCAGTACCTGGCGTGAAACTTCGTTAACATTCGTTAAAAAATATTAGTAATTTGCTTAGTTAAGGGCTTTGTAGTTGTTTTTTTCTCTCACGCTGGTAATTTTTTAGCACATTTTTACCTAATTTTGTTGACAGGAAAGTGCTTCCTTCCTTCTACCTCCACATTATGTTGTACCAACTGGCCCAGAATTACACTTCATTGATTATCGCAGCTAAATGTATTCCGGATACACGAAGTAAAATTTGCTGTTTGCAGTGCGCAAAAGCACAGCCTTGTAGCTAAGACTCAAGGCAGACTCAAAGACAACCATTGCGTTGACTCGTTTAGCGAAAATTGCTTGAAAAATGGGCAACCGTGACAAAATTTTTTTTTTTTTTGAAATTGTAGTTGCTCATAGTTTTTTTTACAAATAATGATTCTGAGAAACTCTATGTGTAGTTGTAAGGTGTTCTCTGGCTTATAGAGTTAATATACAGACTCTAGAGGAAAAGTTTTTCTTACGGCTCATGCATTAAAACCACAGAGGAAGGAAAGGTTCCTTCCTCCGTGATCTGAGCGATTCGCTGAGCCGCCATCTTGTTTAGACAGCAAAGTTAGGGGGCCTCACTATTCCAGCCACTGTAGCCCCACGGAGGAAGGAAAGGTGGGGAGCCCATTCTAGCCACCCTAGCCAACGATAGGAAGATGCCTGCCGCATGAAAAAAAAAAAAAAACAGCTGCCACACCCTTTTCTTCCTTCATTTAAAAATGTTCTCGGTCGCTAGCGTCACCTGTGGCAGACGGTGCAACAACGCAACACTTTGCATAGCCTCCGAAACAGTGGTGCACAGTTGCAGGTCTCGAACAACTCTCGACTGACGCGCCTCTATGGGCCGCAGATGAAAAACGCTTAGCTGGTACCGCCCGTCGCCGTGATGATAATGTTATTTTAAGGTCCCTACACGGAGGAAGGAAAAGCCTTCCTCCGTGGGTCCCTAGATGAAACAAGTAATGTGTACTAATGTCGGTCGCGAGCGCCACCGCGCGAAGCTTGTTTAAAACTGAAGGCAGGCCAACACCGCTGGGAGCGCGAGCCATTCCTCAGGCATCTTACTGGAGGAGGCGTTGCCCTAGCAAAGTAGCCTGCAACATAGACTTTCCTAACTCTATGGCCTGCAAGGAGGTTCTATAGAACCTCTGGAGTGGCAGTCCCGGCCGCGCGCGTGCCGGCCACCTCCAACGGGAGCACGGAGGAAGGAAAGGTTCCTCTGCGCGCGGCACGTTGAAAAGTGATGGAATGGAGTTTCGTTGTGCAGCACACAGCTACACATAAACTGTGCAGTAGCAAGCGAAACTTGTGCACTACTAGTTTGGGTTTATTGTATGCTTAGCATTTTTTGTGTAAGAATGAGTAGCCTTGCACAGACACATTTGAGTGTTCCTGTCACGCTCGACGGCCACAACTTTGATGACGAGGACCCTGTGGTGGCTATCCTGAAAGAATGCGTTGATTTTGTGAACCTTCCGGACACTTCCGGGTGTACGTGTCGAAGTTTTTCTTTCGTCCGAATCTTTTCATTCATTTTCTCCGTTTTACTTTTCCAGACGTCACGACATTGCAGGCGCACTCGGAAAACGCAAAGGTGATTTGCGACATGTGTTGGGAGATGTTGAACATTGGTGACTGGAAGAATGTCCCGCTACATTGGAGGCAGATGTACAGCTTTGGAAGCCTACTAAAAGTACTCTGCGAACTTGGGCTGGAGAAATCGATGAAGGTGTGTATGCGAAACGCATAAATTGCTTGTGTCGTGTTGCACCATGTCACAAATGAGCATGAGCGATCACCTGGTGGTGTTGTGCAAGGCCAAGCATGGACGTTCGTACAGAAGAGCTGTTGTGGTCGATGTTTGCTGTGTGTTGCAACGCTATTCTAAAACTCCAGTTTAGAATAGCGCAGCTCCAGTTTAGTGGAAGTTTGGTTTCTATATTTAAATAACTGCAGGTATGTTCATGAAGTGTAGCTGGGTCTGCGGGTGATCTTGCTGGACTTGGTGACTGCTTGGCAACTACTGCTAATACTTGGAGTGTGTGCGCTACATTGCCAATACCCTATGGCGATGGCAGATGTGTTGAGTGAACTTTTTCGATTGTGTGTAGTGTCATTAGCTTTTGTAATTGTGTTTTGAGTAAGCATTTCAGTAACAAGTGGCAAATTAACTGGTTTTATTTTTCGTGCATCACATTTATTGGTACTGCGGTGATGTCACGGCTATAGTAGGGTGGCTAGAATGGGGAGGTGTGAAAAGCGGCCGCCGAAACCGGCCCCCAAAGCGCGCCGATGCCGCTTGAGGCGCTGCGTGCACTGGCGCGGGTAGCCTTGCGGAGGAGACAAACGAGACAGCACGCGTCGCTCTCCACAAAAATTGCTCCCACGCTCTGTGGTGGTGATCCGTTTTCAGTAAAATCATTTTGATCGAGCAAGCGTAGGGCAGTGCATGGCACCTAATCTCTTTGAACTCTCATCTCTGAAAACTGCTCTTGAAAGGGCCTTGATATGTTTAGTTTAACGTCCCAAAACAACCATATGATTATGAGTGGAGGGCTCCGTAAATTTCGACCACCTGGGGTTCTTTATCGATTATACTCCAGGATCAGAAGTTTGAATCAATGCGCCCACGCTGCGGGAGCCAGAATATAATTTTGACAAACCTCGTACTTATAATGAACATGTCATAAAGCATTCTTTAAACATGGTTGTAGTACCGTAGTTTATCTTGCTAAGATAAACGTAAACCCAAGTGTTTGTCTCACTAAACAAGATGAATTAAATTTGGATTTTACCTGTTCCTAGAAGTGTTTAGGATGAACATTGTCTTACAGGCTAGCTTACCTATTAACCAACTTCAACCACGAAGACATTGACCCTTTGTCCTTCCTTCTGCCATGAAGAACTTCTTATGAATTTGTTTAAATATTGCAAAAAACGTCGCTACGATTGGCTGCCTTGCGCATTTTTAAAATAATTCTTATTGCTGTATTGTATCTTTTACTGTGATGTCTCCGTGTATCAGCGTATAGTTTTGATCCTGATGATTTCTGACCCTTCATTGTAATATTATGTGTAAATATTTCTTACGATTAATTCCCAACTAAAGCGCTGTATATATATATATATATAATTTTAAATAATCAAAATCACCACATTAGATGCTTCGCCCTGCTAATTCACTTTCCCGAATAGTATATCACCCGGAATTTTTGTCACTTCACTTATTGAATTTTGCTTTTCATGTTCATGCCAAGTCATGATACATATGTATTCCCTCGCTCTCTATTTGTGGAGCTTTGTTTCATAACTTTTGCATTCGTAATTGGTGTCATTTTACGCTTGTAAAGTTTATTTTTTTTTCATTCTGCATGTATGAATGTCTGTCGTGCATTGCTGCTTTGCCAACTTGTGACTGAGTCGGTACTTTGTCAATCTCTCGAGTCCCGTGTGCCTCAACCTATTGAAAGAAAAGAAATGAAGTCTCTGACCAAAAGAACTATAGCTAATTTATGTGAATTGAACTAGCAAATTTAGCACAGGATGCCGAACGTAGAATACGGTGCCCTGATGTTCACCGGAGAGTTGCATGTGATGGCTTAAAGCAACGTGGCGCATGTTAAACCCATTTCTCATTGCAACAGAAAGCCGAAACATCATTTCACCATCAACCCTCTCCGCAAGGATATGATCACTGACCTAAAAATAATTACAGCGATTCTGACAGCTCGCATCTGCTAGCGAACCATAATCGCAGGCATTTGCAGTGTAAATAATTTTGGCCCTTTTAACCTACACAGGGTCCACTAGAATTGCAACTGTTTATAGAAACGTGAGCCTTGCTTTTCCAGGTACTGCAAGCTTAATGCTCCGTGACCTGTACTATCAACAGAAGCAAATTTTGTTTTGGAAACATAACTGATAAATAGCGCTACCGTGTTGCAGGGAAGACTTGCTCAAAACTACAACTCGCACAATTTAAGCAGAAGCTCCATTTCTACATGTATAACGAGTGCGTCAAATACTAATTGCCGAAGTAACGTCCTATACTAGCAACGGTGTTACTTATAACGCGTAACCACCAGCTCTGCGAAACAATGCGTTCTTGCACTCATTACAATTATTACGAAGTAACAGATTTCTCATAGCGTAGCTTGCCACATAGTATACAGGGCGGCCATCCGCCGCTCAGCGGTGTACGATTCATGGGCGACACACACTGCTAGTGAATCAGATGGAAGTCTTTCGTAGTCTTCCTCATTTCATTCCATCTCATGCAGCATTTTTTCTACAGACAGAGCGACTTTTCCACTAAGTGATCCACGTTGCCACCCTTGGGACTCTTCAAGAGGCTGAACTGAAGCATTAAGTTTTGCGGACAAGCGTAATGCAGCGACACTGGATCTACTTTTCTTTTTGTCGTTGACATCTTCAGGCATTTCAGAGTAACCCAGCGCAATCACCAATTGACGAAGTACTTGTAAAACAGCTAATGCCTCTGAAAAAAAAATGAAAAGCAGCGCACACGAGGAAAACTCTGCGAAGTGCGCCGCTCACTACCCACGCCGCTGCCATCAGCGCCCCTGGTAGCTTCGGCACGCCGAAGGGCCTTTTTCGGCAAGCAAGAAGCGCCGCGCTCATCACACCTCCCCATTCTAGCCACCCTAGCTATAGATTTGCCATCACTTCAGAGGCTATCACAAGGCACGCTTCCTGCTGTTGGTTAATGACATGCTTGCATGATGCAGCAGTAATATTATTCAAGCAACTAATAAAAAACTCTTGTGCTGGAACTGCGCGGCAGCAATGAGAGCTATACGGACGGTGCAACGCAGGAGACCACACCAAACAGCATCCATTGGTCTTGCCTATGTTGTCCATTTGTGCATGTGCTTATCTGAGTCTACCCATTTAAAGGGGCCCTGAAACATCCTTTTTAATATACTGGGAAAACGCTGGTGATCTGTAGTTGAGTCTTCTGAACATGTGAGCGAAATATTCCTGCAGTTCATACAGAATTTCGTGCCAAAAACGCCTCACTTTCACCTCAAAACCATGTAAGCAGACGTACACCATGCACAATAACGGGTCGGCTGTTAAGCCAGTAGCTAGCATTTAAAATACAGTGATATGCATCTCCCATGGTTTCATTATCCTGCCCACAGGAAATGGCACTTGTGGCAATTTTGTCTGCGTTTCAAATATTCCCATTGAAATGGTGACATAATGCACAGCAATATACGCCATCATGTTCACCAGAAGCCTGCATTTCTACAGTGACATGTTTATCATTCAATTATTCAATTTTACCATACTTAGTTAAAGAGACACTAATGTCAAACATTAGTCAATTGAACAGACAGCATTATTACTCTATAACTGTATTAAGTAATTTACCGTTAAGGTGGGTCATTCCACGCCAAATGTCCTACACATTTAGTTTGGAACTTGACCCTTTCCACATGTGTAACATAACACGTTGTGGTCATATATTTTTGCTGCACTATTCATACTTGTAACCTATTTCTAGAAGAAAGATAGTTCTTGTGTGTTACAGTGATTTAAATAATGCAGTGCAGGCCGAAACTTGTGTTTCAGACAAAACCTTGTGGAACTACAGTAATGTACATGTGGATGGAAATGAGTGCAGCGGAAAAATATTGATGGATAAATGAATAGTTTTGAACTGGTAAAATTTTGAAGTGGCATTGAAAAATGTGCAAAATTCCTTATGTTCAGGCACTTGTAGCTTAGTGATCTGCTCCGTACTAAATAAAATACATGGTTAACTTCATTTGAAAGAGTATAAAAAAATGTTTGTCTATGAAAGTTTCTGCGATACGTTTTGTTTTTAGTGCAAAATATATTTTCTGTTGAGCGGCCGCATTAGGCCACAAGTCCACATCATTCGATCTTTCGCTGCAACGGCGAGATGCAACAGCTGCACAGATGGACATACCACATGTTGCATTGGTTTCTCGTGGTGTGTTTTGGCTGCTTGGTGACACTCATTCAGCGTGCATTTTCTCCCTCTCTTCACGGCTTAGTAAGCAAACCTACTTTTATTGAAGGTGGAAGCAATAATGATTTTGAAAGGTCATGTCAGTTGTTAATTTGTGAGCTTATGGCACAGGTGCAGTGTGCTGTAACATCACTACCACATAAGGTTTGCTTGCTGGCTGCGTTCATATAGAAAGTTTCTGCTTGGAAGCATGTAAAAGTCGTGCCATTGTATAATGTCTCTGGTGGCAAGAGTGGTGCCTTTTGGTATTCTTAAATTGCATTTTACAAACAAAAGAAGATCGAAAATCTAGATTGGAGCTGACAGATGGCAACAACATAGTGGGATAATCAGGGTTAACAGTGGAAGTGTCTGGGACTGGCTGGCCGATGTTTCGATAGGAGGACCTATCTTTTTCAAAGGCGTCGTGTCATCCTTGGCGTGTTAGCTTTAAAGGGGTTAGTGGTGACAACATCTCCTGGTCGGGGTGCGTGTCCGGGTTGATAATCGCCGTCTGAAAAGCAAAAAAAGCTATAAAGCAGAGGAGTGCTGTCCTCGCTTCCCTTCAAGTTCGGTGGTAGTGATTCAATATTGTTCTGGGAGAGTGAAAAAAAAAGAAGAAAGAAAAAACTCAAAGTTGGAACGGTGTGCTGCAAAAGTGGTGGCCACGTCAGACGCGAATTTTTGTTCTTTTTTTCCACTCTCCCAGAACAATTTTGAATCACTAC